ACAATACCTTCGTCCTAAGGGCACCTTTGATCGCAATTAGCCGATTCAGGATGTACCGCTCGCAGTAAAACTTCGTCCTTATGAATCTACCCGTAGACATGCTTCGTGGCTGTGAGGTTACACATACATGTTCTGTCAACATGAATGCGTAAAATATAAAACAGTTTAGTATATCGAGGTATACCTGTGATTTTTAGAACAAATTTAGAGCCAAGGTGGCCATATTTTAAATGTTTAAAATGCCCGTGTGCTGAAATCGCCAGATATGTTAACAACTAAAGCTTACCTCTCCCATCTGATGCAGTAGCACCTGCAAGTTTTCTCACAAAATTGACAAATATGAGTTGGTTGGCTTTGCAATATGAGAAAATAGGTAGTGAAATGGGTAGAGATTGTCCCTCTCATTTCAAAATCATTCCTTACGTTGTTACTATTCTAATAATTTAGAGTACTTTTCTCCCAGCAAGTGGTCGTGTTTCACCTTATGCACTTGCACTGCAGCGACTTGAATTGATAGATTATATGGCCCCCTGTTACAACAGCAACATCTCACATTTTCCTAGTAGAAATCAAAACCATTCAAAATGGCCTGACTACATGCAGCAAAAACACTAGCCTTTCATGTTCCCATAAATGTTGCAGATCTGTTGCATCAGCCGCTTCCTTTGTAGTTCGTGCACCCAACGACGGTGCAGTGCCAGCCTGACTGACGAATTTTCTACACATTGCGCAGCCGTAATCAGTATGCGAAAGAAGGCACTATTTTCCAACAGACAGGCGCAAACATGCAAAGCAAGCACAGTCACCACTTCCTGCCGTCGTGCGCACCACCTGGTGTCAAGAGTAGTGGCGGAGCTGACACTCGTGCTACGAGGCTAAGAAAAGAGTGGTCTGTACTGCTACTGCCAGTGAATATACGTACACTACTGCCTGTGAACAGTCACGGCAGCTATACTGCTAAATTGTAGTACAAGCTTTTGATCGAGGCAAAACGGGAACTGACACTCCTATTGTAATCAGTGATTAGTGCTGCACACATACGAAATTCACAAGACAGTGTCAGTTACTGGTAGTGTGGTAGCGTAATGCACTACATGAAAACTACAAAAAGTAAACAGGTGCTATACAGAAATGCAGGTGCTATATATAAGCCACACTGCTCTTAACTACCACACTCCATGCATATTCTTTCATTTTTAAAGGACCAGTAAACAACTTCGAGTTCGGAAAAGTATGAAAAAAAATAATGCGCACTGTTGCAATGTAAACATGCTGTCGCAAGAATTTTGCGAACTTGTGCTATAATGAAGGAGGTAAACATCTTCGACAGATATCTGTCTGGCTTAGTGAACTTTCATGCTAATAACATAAACTCTTCAGCCAAGTTATAGTTTGGACACGTTCGCCGAGCTACCAGAAATATTTTTGAGATTTGTGGATGACAACTTTTGCATAATCAAGGATTCTAACATCAACACTTTCCTGGCACACTTAAATGCAATCGAGCCGGCAATTCAATTCACCAGGGAACGTGAAAAAACAATGTTCTCCCTTTCCTGGATGTGCTAGCGAAAAGGCCGAAAGTGGGGGTAGGGGCGAACGTTTGAGCTTTTCCGTGTACCAAAAACCTATGCACACTGGACGCTATCTGCAGTTCACTTCTCACCACCCGACCACACACAAAGCATCAGTTGTCAAGGCACTCCTAAATCATGCAGGGGTCATTTGCAGCTCCGAAAAAATGACAAAAAAAGAACCGATCACCGCCGACTTGTTGGACAATGGATACCCCAAAAGCTTTATTGGTTGAGTACACCAGTAACTTGGCGACTGTTAAATTGCCCCCCCCCCCTGCTTTCTGCAAAGAATGAATCTAACAATGAGGCCTATCCGAAACATTCCTACTGCATCTCTGTCCCATACTTGCCGGGAATCAGCGAGCAACTGTCCAGGGTGCTGGGGATAGGTATCATTCAGTTGGCACACAAACCCGTCTCAACAATCGGGTGATTCTTGCCCCCGATCAAAAGACCGACTGCCGAAAGAAAGGTTTCCCGGGCTGGTCTACGAAATTCCATGCTCAGTCTGTCCTGCCACCGACATCAGTGAGACGAAAAACTTCCCGGATAGGATACGACAACATCGAAACGATGTGCGTAACCTCAACGCTGCACAAAACACTCTGGCTGAACACAGCGAAAAGATGGACCACCGCATCACTTTTGATGACGCCCGGCCCAACGACACGGAGGGTAGCCACACAAAAAGACAGTTCTTAGAGTTCTGACACATCTAAGCAAAGCCCTGGAAATGTTAAATGCTCAGCTAGAACCTTACCCAATGTATACATGCACGGTGTGGTGTACACGTATCCCGAAGGAGTACGGCCACCAGCGTGGGTCCGGCTCTTTGCGAGCCGCAGGGCACGCGTTAACCGTCGCCGTGGCGAGAACACAATACTGCTCAAAGTCACAACACTTTATTGTGGCAACACCAATCGCAGTACAGCCCGTTGCAAAGGCACGACGGGAAAGCAAATAGGCTTATCCACGCCACGGGCACAAAAGTACTACACAGGGTGCCACGAGCACGTCTCCGCGGTAAAGGTGATCCACGGAGACACCGGGACCAAGGCCCGGTTGCTCGAGTGAGGGCAAAGGCGCTCGCGTTGGCTTCGGAGGGAGACGGGTCGGCGTAGCTAGGCCACGCACTAGGACACCGTACTGCCCTTTGGCCGTGCGTACGCAGTGGGGCAACAAAAGGTGAGTGTTCGCCTCGGGCGCGAGGTGCCTCAGCGAAGTCCGACGAGCCCCGAGCGATGGGAGTCGACGGACGGAAAAGATTGCGTGGCTAACCGTTTGAAGTCCCGGAGAGTATCTGTCCGCTCCTGACGCAGTGCGCGAGAACCTCTCGGGAGACTCCGCGCGTGGCGCCACAGTCAACATCCGCTACCGGGTGAGGGAGTTAGACGTCACTCTGCTCTCCCGCCACGGCAGACAGCAAAGGAGGGCAGACATTTCGGGACATGAAAACGGCAGAAAAGGCGGCAAAGCCCGCGCAAAGGCAGCGGGCTAGCCTCAATTCCCACAACGGTCTACAGAACCAGTTGAGAAGACACCGCGGCAACAACAACGGGCGAAAGAAAGACAATGGAGAGGGCGAAACCGCCAAGAAAAATCGCGAGCTTCAGTGCCGGCCAAGCAGTCACCTTTGAAGAAGGGACCATATCGGTCCCGAAACGTTGGGTCAGTGCACAGTCCTCACCTTTTATGTTTGGACTATAACTTGGCTGTAGAATTTATGTTATTATAAAGAAGTTACTGGGCTCAGATCATCTGTTTCAGCTCGTTTCAAATTTTCACGTGGCCTCGCCCTTCTCTGCCATAAGGAGAGAGAAGGCGTAGCCTGTCGTCATGACTACACCCACTTCGACAGCGTGGCACCACATCAGCGATACGTCATCGGTGCACATCCAACGACTGACATGAACACGTGTAATAGAGGGTTTGAGACTTGGGGCCCGAAGGAGCTTGGGGACCCAAACCGATCTTGGGCTCTCGCGTTCATGTTGACCCAAGGCTCAAGAATCGAAAACTAGCATGGGTTCCCAGGACATCTTGCATCGCGAATCCAGATGACACAGACACAACGCGACCCATATTGCAGTATGGCCTGCGTCTCACATAATGTTAACATTGCCCACATGTGGCACCCTGTGCGTTTAACGCAACACAGCCTGCATTTGACAAAATTCTCAAATTCTGCTGATCCTCCAAATGCAAGAGCAACCTACACAATGCAGCTTGTGGATCCAGTGTCTTGGACCACTAACTCAAAAACTCTCTATTGCAGCGCACAAAGTGCAATGCGAGGAGCACCCTTCCCCAAGCAGAAAGTAGCGAGACTATCTCGGAAGCTTTTGTTCTGGCAATACCACTTCTCCCAGTAGGCACAGGCTCTGCAAAGCCGCAGATGGCAGCACAGGTGAATAAATAAAACCATGAACTGGGCGGCCGAAACTGCATCACCACAGGGCAAAGGCGCCGTTTCGTAGGGCAAATGATCAATCGATGAGCTCAATGGCATGTCACATTGCCCATGAGCAAGCTTACGTTGCTCCACATATGAGGAGGATTCGTCAAAAAGAAAGATGCGTGAGAATTGTTTTTGAAATAGAGGGTCTGTGTAGCGTGCAGCGCTGTAATATTTCAATAATGTGATCACCGTGGACTACTGCACTGGACTACTGCACGAATCAGTAAGCTTGGTTGGTGGCTGGAAAAAAAAAAAAGTTGGAGCCTATTTACTATTACTGGCCCTTTAAATACTGATTGCAAGAGGACAAAGGTCTGTTCCACAGCACACTTTGCATTCTAAAATTTTACCGATATTTGCGAACACTTGAAATTCCACACATGAAGTGCTTCACACCACATATCTCAGTAAGGGCCTTCCAAAATCAGATGCTGATGTGTGTGTGGCAAGTCAGGTAACAAAAGCAGATCCAGTTATAACAATACTGAAGTGACTGAGAAATTCGATGGTTACAACCGATAATTGTTACAGAAGGGTTGCATGAGAAAAAGAGAGAATCGAAACACTGAGATGACAGGCTACTGTGAGAAAACTATTCTATCACATGATATGCCAATGCCCGATAGGGACTTTCTAGGCCTGTGTAAACATTTGAGTGCTTGCATGGCTGGATGATCCAGCCGGACTGGAAGAATCCGGGTAAAAAGATGCAAGGGGATGGCGCAGAGGCGTGGTACTTTTTTCCTCTAAGAAAATGTACCAGAAGGTTGTGCCATCATTTCTACTTACAAATAAAAGCCACTTCTCTGACAGAGCATGCTAGCATGCAGTTTTGCATAGTTTGGCCACAGCTCGCGAGCTGTTTTACTTTTGAGGCACCTGTGCATCTAGAAATAAACTAGCGGCAATTCGCTAACTGCTTTCTCTGAGGTTGGAGATGCCATCATTCCCGTCAAAAGGCTTACTTCAGGCTCGCTGATGAGCTCCCCCTGCGAGTTGCGCCGTTTGCGTTTGCGCTTGTGCGGCAGAGCCTCTTCCTCCTGTTGGAGCTTGATGCGTGCCTTCATGCGCTCAACCTTGTCGGTGAGCATCTTGCGCCGGAGCTCCTCCTCTCGCTTGCGCCGTGCCTCTTCCTCTTCCTCGGTCAGCCGGATGCGCCCAAAGTTGTTGTCCTTGGTGCGCGAGGCCATCACCTAAAACAGACACCACAGTCGTCAGGCGACCCCACTCGAGGGAATACACATCACACTGAGCTGAACAGGAATAGTCAAGGAGGCAGCTTTGTTATGACAAGGGCACCCACAAAGCTGACGTGGAGGCAAGTTGAAAACGTATATCTATGATTACAATGAAGAAGACAGGAGAGCGAGTGGCCTGTCTTACAGCTGCTTTTCTGTTTTCTTCCTGTGATCGGTTATTTTGGCTGAATATATGTTTCCTTAATGCAGTGCACCAACGAGCCCAGTAGTTTGTTTGTTATGTGGAGGTAAGTAGAAAACTAAAGTGGAAAAGAAAATCATTTTCTATCACTGCATGCATAGAGTGCGAATTCCCCGCACTTTACCCATGCCCTATGCCATGCAAGTTCATAACCAATCCATTCCTCAGAAGAGGAACCCGAAATTCAGGGCAGTGTTACCACTCCACAAAAAGTGTACGCATTCAGGCTGGTTTTCATCATGACTGCAGTCGACACAAAAACAGCACGTACGAAGGAGACTCAAAAATACTGCTTAGTGCCACTGCAAGTCCTATTTTGATGTCTGATCTCCTTCTGCTACTTCTAGTCTGGTTACAGAGACTTCTGTAAGGGGGTGGAGAACAATGGGTAACTATTTGCAGTAGCAGTCACATGGTGCTGCTCTCAGTTAGTGGTTCGCAGCCACGGGTGTTCAGGGGACCCCTTGTGGACTGGTGTGTCACAATTAATGAAAAGAAACCCTTTGAAGCGAGACAAAAAGGGAGAGGAGGTCAAAACAAAGTGCAGCATGAAATAGGTGTGGATAAAAATGGTCAAACTAAAGAGTCACGCCAATTCGAGCTCATAAATAAGCCATGTTGACTGCAGCCACATTCCATGCATTTCTCGCTGTGCTTGCTCTTCAGTTGTGTAAGCTTGGAAAAAGCATATGTTATAGAACATTGCAACACAAGCTTTACATGAAAAACTGAAAACATAAGTCAGCTCCATCACAATGAAAAGCCATGATGCAGTGAAGAATACTAAAGATCACAAGGGGCTGTCGTCACTGGACATAGTGTGCATTTGACAAATACGTTTGTGCGTGTTCCTGCAAAAATGACCTTACACACACCTTGGAGTCTGCAGACCCCCACTTCAGAACCACTGCTCTCAATGCATAGTACAGTTCACTTAAAATAAAATTATGGCCAGACAAGCAATCAGCTCAAACCACAAGCACGTACAGACATGAGACACCATTACTGCTGTCTATTACTGCTTTCTTTCGTAAGGCCTTAGTGCATTCATAGATGCCTCTTCCTAGACGATCTGTAATAACATTAATTTGCATTATCAAAACTCACCGTGCACTACATGTCATGCTCTCACTAGAATACAAACATAGGGTGCGATTTCAGTGCTGCCAATACCAGCTGCCTATTGCTGGAACTCCCTGTTGAAGAACTCCATATTTACTGCATACACACCTGCTGCTGCCACAGATGTGACAGGCATTGTAAACAGCATAACAACCACAGTAAACTTTGCTGGCCCATCCCATAGAATAACTCTTTTTGCTTTTTATTATAGATAAACATTCCTGCAAAATTCATGCTTTAATCCATGCTGTAAGCTTCATCATCATCATCATCATCAGCCTGATTACAGTCCACTGCAGGACAAAGGCCTCTCCCACGTTCCGCCAGTTAACCCGGTCCTGTGCTTGCTGCTGCCAATTTATACCCGCAAACTTCTTAATCTCATCTCCCCACCTAACCTTCTGTCTCCCCTAACCCGCTTCCCTTCTCAGGGAATGCAGTTAGTTACCCTTAATGACCAGCGGTTATCCTGTCTACGCGCTACATGCCCGGCCCATGTCCATTTCCTCTTCTTTATTTCAACTATGATATCCTCAACCCCCGTTTGTCCTCTAATCCACTCTGCTCTCTTCTTGTCTCTTAAGGTTACACCTACCATTTTTCTTTCCATTGCTCGCTGCGTCTTCCTCAATTTAAGCTGAACCCTCTTTGTAAGTCTCCAGGTTTCTGCTCCGTAGCTAAGTACTGGCAAGATACAGCTATTATATACCTTCCTCTTGAGGGATAGTGGCAATCTACCTGTCATAATTTGAGAGTGCTTGTCGAATGTGCTCCACCCCATTCTTATTCTTCTAGTTACTTCAATCTCGTGGTTAGGCTCTGCGGTTATTACCTGCCCTAAGGAGACATAGTCTTTCACAACTTCAAGTGCACTATTACCTATCTCGAAGCGCTGCTCCTTTCCGAGGTTGTTGTACATTACTTTCGTTTTCAGCAGATTAATTTTAAGACCCACCTTTCTGCTCTCCTTGTCTAACTCCGTAATCATGAGTTGGAATTCGTCCCCTGAGTTACTCAGCAATGCAATGTCATCGGCAAAACGCAGGTTACTAAGGTATTCTCCATTAACTCTTATCCCTAACTGTTCTCATTCTAGGCTTCTGAAAACCTCCTGTAAGCACGCGGTAAATAGCATTGGGAGATTGTGTCCCCCTGCCTTACACCCTTCTTGATTGGTATTCTGTTGCTTTCTTTATGAAGCACTATGGTAGCAGTTGATCCCCTGTAGATTTCTTCCAGAATGTTTATATATACTTCATCTACGCCCTGATTCCGCAGTGTCTGCATGACGGCTGATATTTCTACTGAATCAAACGCCTTCTCGTAATCTATGAAGGCTATGTATAGTGGTTGGTTATACTCTGAGCATTTCTCTATTACCTGATTGATAGTATGAATGTGGTCAATTGTTGAGTAGCCTGTTCGAAATCCTGCTTGTTCCTTTGGTTGATTGAATTCTAATGTTTTCTTTACTCTGTTAGCAATTACTTTTGTAAATAATTGTATACTACAGAGAGCAAGCTGATCGGCCTGTAATTCTTCAAGTCCTTGTCATCTCCTTTCTTATGTATTAAGATGATGTTAGCGTTCTTCCAAGACTCTGGTACCCTTCACGTCAGGAGACACCTCGTAAACAGGGTGGCTAGTTTTTCTAACACAATCTGTCCTCCATCTTTCAGCAGATCTGATGTTACCTGATCCTCACCAGCAGCTTTGCCTCTTTGCATGCTCTCCAAAGCTTTTCTGACTTCTTCTATCATTACTGGTGGGGTGTCATCTGGGTTACTGCTAGTTCTTATAGTATTAAGGTCGTGGTTGTCTCAGCTACTGTACAGATCTCTGTAAAACTCCTCCGCTATTTTAACTATCCTATCCATATTGGTAGTTATTTTGCCTTCTTTGTCCCTTAGTGCATACATCTGACTTTTGCCTATCCCAAGTTTCCTCTTCACTGCTTTGACGCTTCCTCTGTTTTTCAGAGCGTGTTCAATTCTCTCCATGTTATACCTTTTTACATCGCATAATTTACGTCTATTAATCAAGTTCGAAAGCTCTGCCAGTTCTATTTTGTCTGTTGTACTTGACACTTTCATGATTTGACGCTTCCTAATTAGGTTCCTTCGTTTCCTGGGAAAGCTTGTCAGTGTCCTGTCTAACTACCCTGCCTCCAACTTCCACTGCACACTCCGTAATGATACTCGTCAGATTATCGTTCATTGTATCTACGCTAAGGTTGGTTTCCCCACTAAGAGCCGAGTACCTGTTCTGCAGCGACACTCTGAATTCTTGTACTTTCCCTCTCAGTGCTAGCTCATTTATTGGCTTCTTGCGTATCAGTTTCTGTCGTTCCTTCTTCAAGTCTAGGCGAATTCGAGACCGTACCATTCTATGGTCACTGCATCGTACCTTGCCAACCACTTCCACATCCTGCACGATTCCTGGATGTGCAGTCATTATAAAGTCTATTTCGTTCTTATTTTCGCCATTAGGGCTCCTCCATGTCCACTTGCGGTTTTCTCGTTTTCGGTAGAAGGTATTCACAATCCGCAAATTATTGCGTTCTGGGAATTCTACTACTAGCTCTCCTCTGGCGTTTCTAGTGCCGATGCCATAATCTCCTACTGCCTGGTCTCCAGCTTGCTTCTTCCCTACCTTTGCATTAAAGTCGCCCATCACTATAGTATACTGTGTTTTTACCTTACTCATTGCCGATTCCACGTCTTCATAGAAGCTTTCAACTGAAGCGTCATCATGGCTGGATGTAGGCGCGTAAGCCTGTACTACCTTCATCTTGTATCTTTTATTCAGTTTAATTACAATACCTACCACCCTTTCATTCATACTATAGTCTTCCTCTATGTTGCCAGCTATATTTCTGTGAATTAGGAACCCCACTCCCAGTTCTCTTCTGACTGCCAAGCCCCGATAGCAAAGGACGTGCCCATCCTGTAGCACAGTATAGGCCTCATCTGTCCTCCTAACCTCACTGAGCCCTATTATATCCCATTTAACACCCTCTAGCTCCTCGAATAGTACAGCTAGACTTCCCTCACTAGATAAGGTTCTAGCGTTAAACGTTGCCAGGTTCAGGTTCCAATGGCGGCCTGTAGTCCAGAGATTCGTAGCACCCTCTGCTGCGTTGCAGATCTGATTGCCGCCATGGTCAGTTGCTTCGCAGCTGCTGGGGACTGAGGGCCGTGAGTAATTTGACGTATGCATGTGGGAGGTAGGCTTACTGTATCTTTAAATATACAGATTTGATGGGCTACATGATGTTGGAAGTTGGTTAGGAGTTCACATAAAAATCCCAGTTTCTTACAGAAGCCAAAAGTATGATGCTAGGCCAGTTCATGCACAACTGTCAATTTTCTTAGTGCAATAAATCATTATTGGAAAAATTTCATCTCTCTTCTCTTCTGCTGACATTTTGCACCACAAAGACTGAAAACTAGGTAATTAACTGTAATAGCATTTACAGTTCGCCTGTAGAAATTAGGTTCTCGGTATTATATTCCTAAACTTAGCCTTAGCCCTACGAGTCACAACTTGTGAGACTTGGCTTGCAACAGCTTCTAGTAGTTTGCTGAAGTTGAATTTTCCAAACTGTGATTATTATCGACGAGATTAGTGTCTCATCTTCCAACATGTTTCAATGTGTAAGGTGCTTTTCACATTCATTTGCTTTTGGGAATATAAACACCTCCATCATTACCATAAAATTATTGGTGCTAAGGCAGTGTGACCTCCCACTGGTGCTCATACACCCAATACATCACAAGATGTCTCGTGGCCATGAAACCAAAAAACCGAGAATGGTTGCTCCCTAGATGATCTCACCTTGGCACGCTTGTTAGACTTGGAATTCTGGGCCCGCAGCTCAAGAAGTTTTTCTTTTTTCTTCTGCTCCTCGATTTCTGCACAAAACGAAGAGCCCATCCAACCATTTGCAATGCTGATGGCACACCAAAAAAGAGTCACACTTGGTTCATCGAGAAACAGATTACTTCTTCAAAAAAGAAACAGCACCACGTTAAAAACAACTTTTGTGCTCAAATCAAAGAAGCAGTGATGACAGATCACTACTCGACCATCTGGAACTAATCTATGATCACAGAACGGAATTTTTTTTTTCTTTTCACCATAAAGTAGCTCAAAACGAGACGCAGCATTTGGCAAACAATTCACAACTAAATGGCTTCAGCCAGCCACCCCAGCACCCAACATGGTTACAGAATGTGGCACCACACAACCATTCCGCTATCACTAACCTGAACACTTCTCAGTAACCCAAAAAGATAGCTTTCCCTTAGAAATTTGAGTTGGTTCAACAAATCCCAGAAACAACTTTTCATTTTTGAGCTTAAGCAATCATCAACATAACAAACCCTATCATTCTCTCTAGCTTTAGCGAATGTTTCCGATCAGATGAACTTACCCAAATGTATTTATTCTCTGAACAGATAGTCCAGTAATTGGGCACACTGAAATATCCTCACACATGCCGTGCCACAGGAATGGCCCCTTTTAAATGACTATGCCAGTATAATAATTTCTGGGGTATATGAGCCAAAACCACAACATGATTATTACGCACGCTGTAGTAGGGGACTACAAATTATTTTCGGCCACCTGGAGTTTTCTGGTGAGGCTTGAGTTCAGAAGCACAATAGCCACTGCATGCTGAGCTACCATCCAACTATACACTGAACCAATTGTTGTTGCACTGTGTCGTCAAAGTGGTGTCGTGTTTCTTAACGCCATATTCATAAAATGACCTTAACTTATCGTGGTAAGGCTACTTACGAAAGGACGAGAAAAGTATAAGTACAGTAGACTCTTATTAAATGAAGCCTGAAGGGACCAGGAAAACGTGTTCCATTTAACAGAAGCTCCGTTTACTGAGTGGTGAAGTGGGTTCCAGCATTCAAGTATGAAACCCATCATATCAGAGCAAGTTGTTCCATTTAAGCAGCAGTTCCATTTAACAGATTTTTTTTTACTGTGTCGACTGTATATGAAAAGTACAAGATAAAATGATATTAATTTAGCGCAGCTCAGTTTGAGCATGACGAAAAATGCTATATGGTCAAGAAGAGGAAAAAAACAGATCATACTCTCGCCTGTTTTTCACCCCTTCTTGACCACATAGCACCTTTCATTCACGCTCAAACTGAGCTGCGCTAAACCAATATCATTTTATCATGCACTAACTCGCCCAGTGTACAGTACTTGTCGAAAAGTACGAGGCGAGTTTCAGGAACCTTCCTAATCCCGTCATGAGTGCGCCTTATGAAAGGCGACCTTAACTTGTCAAGTATAGGCCCTGGGTGCGAGGATAGGGTTATTTTTTGCCACAAAATCATGACTTCGAGCAGCAAAAAATTAGCTTTACTACAAGAAACCAACAACAGTATGCACAGAAGCAGCCAAACATAAACAGTAGCAATGTTCACCAAGGCACAGGCAGTTTTCGGTGAAATACACATTTTCGTGAGGCCACTTTCTGAAACTGCCATCGACGTACCGGGGTGGTCAGGTCACTTTACTTATCTTGATGCCTTCTATATTTTTGCTGTGTTCGATCGTGCTATCGTGCTCCCTTCAGCGCTTGTCGTTTTCTTTCACTTTCTTTCTGAAATTTCGCTAGATTTCCGTAATAGTTTGAGCAGTTTTACAGCATTTTCTTACAAAGTTGCATTTACTGTAGAACTGTGCACTGAAGTGAATTTCGTCAACGAAGTAACTACGTCCTAGTGAATTTCGTCAACAAGTACCAAGACGGACGCCGTGTGCCTTCAGAAAAAATGAAAAACATGGAAGCAGCTCGGGATAGAATTCAACAGCCAACACAATTTGCATCCGCGTATGGCCTACCAAACAACTAGAAAGATGTTTGCACCACTTCGTAACGTTTTACCAGTACAGGAGAAACGTATTTTTCCAACCATAGCAGATATCGACTGGACTGTATACTTGTGACATGGTAGGCTACGAGACATTGGCAAGGCCGTCGCGCCCAAGTTGAAACGTGCCAACTCCAAAATAGCGTGATGCGAAGAGAAACTGAATGAGATGAGACACAACGAACCCACGACCATGGATATTTTCTTACAAAAACAGTTCAGCTAGAAGATTCTTCACGGCACTTTTTGTGAAGCGGGGGAGGCACAAAATTCCTGCTTGTCATAGATCTCAACCAGGTTTCGTCGATCATTGAACATGTAGCCGTGATGGGGAGTCATAGTGACATGTGTGCGCACGCTGTGCCGTTCAATATTTCTTCTTTGCAGTCCACGTAATCAACAAAATATGCAAAGTTGTTGTCCGCTCACATGTTGCTTCAGTAAGCCTTAAGGTAGGTCATAGGCTATCTTAACCGAGCCTTACTTAAGCACAAGGAAAGTTCTGCGATAAGTAAATGGTAGGTTCTTGAAATGCGTTAAGGGCAGACTTATGGCTAAGGTTGACTTGAAGAGCTCATGACATGGCCACCCAACAATTGACGGTTTCTGACGAAAAACGAAGGTAGACAGTCAAATATTCTTGTACACGTGAGAAAACTGGACTTTTGAGGATTATTTCAGTCCAAAATAAGCTGTAGGAGTTATCGGTTGTACACTCCACCCACCACTAGCGACCACCATCTTGCCATGGCGCACATAATCACAAGCCTTAAGGAGCAGAGCCACCGTCGGGTACCAAACAGCACCTTCCGCACGCGGTCAGTGTGTTCACCGCGTTGTGAGTGTTCACCGCGTTGCGAGTGTTGCCGCGTGGTCCGCATGTGTCAATGTGTTGGAAGTGTTACAGGTAACAATGCCATGTCGTCTGCCCCATCCTAACCTCATGATTGGGGCAGCACGTGGTTCACCGAGCAGCAAAAGCAGCGACGGCGTCGTGTACGCTGCGAACTTCGACTACATTGCCAACCATTCACAGGACACTTTTTGATTGAAGACAGATTGACAGAAATTGTTTGCTACAAGTACCAGCAGTACATGGGTGAAGCGGTGGCATTGTTTCAACCGCTGCAAGTGATTTACTTCCAGCGGCAAGTTGAACAACGCAGAGAAGGCTCAATTGTAAGTGCAGCTGACCACGGAACACGATTGTCCTCCAGAATGCAGACCAAGCAGCATCTCACCCAGCAAGCGGCTAGTGGCATCACGGCTAGCAAACGCGCCAGTGTTGCCCATCTCTCAGGCCACTCACTCATTTACAACAATATTCAATTATAAATTATTGGCACGACCAAATGCGCTAAAATACGTACAAAGATTGCCCCACAAAACACAGACTATAGTCGAGAATTGGGTGACATGACCCCTTTAAGTAATGAGGATAAGTTTAAGTTAAGTTTGTGAATACAGGGGTTAAACATCTGGTAGTATACTCTGGAAACTTGCATAGGATTATAAGTACTTCCTGAGGGGCTAGTTCGTGAAGCATCTTGAAAGAAAAGGGGCAAACTGGGGCAACACAAAAGCGGTGCTCGCCTTGTGGTCCGAAGTTGCACCTTTCTTTTTAAGTTGCATGGAATTGTTAGCTACTTTGGCTTCTAGTTCTAACAATCTCCATGCAATGATTTTTTGAAGGCCAGTCGCATCAACTTACGCTTTCTGCGCTCCTCTTCTTCTTTTCGCTGCAGAAAGGCTCTGATGGCGGCCGACTGGACATTGCTGCGTGGCGCCTTTTTGGCCGGAGCCACCTCTGTGCTGTAGCGCTTCACAGATTTCTACAGATGAAAAGAAACATCAAGAATGGTTACCACGTAAAGCCCAAACAGTACAGGATCTTGGCTATGAGAAAGATATCAAAATAAATAACTCCCATTGATTGTGTTACTTACACTCCAAGCCCAAAACCTTTTGCGAACCTACTTGCTATGAAAAAACAACCAAAATAAAATTCAATGGTATGACTTTTTGGCTAATCAAACAGTGGTCTTAGTCTACCAATATAGAACACCCCCATGCAATTTAAATGCAGTTTAAGTTATCCAACATAGAAGCTCCTTTTTGTTATTACAAAAAAGCATGCGGCGACCAAGAAAACATTGCTTGGCATTGCAAACCCTGTGACTCCCCACGTGCATTTAACTGTGCTGACAGCAGAGGCAAGTGTCAAGTATACATTGCGACATCTTCGGTATCAAATGACTGCCAGTAATTTCTCTATTGAACTTTGAGTTCCACATAATGTATGCTCTAGAGCGCTAAATTGTGAACAGCGTTATTGGTGACGAGATTGGGCTATAGGTGGCAGCACCATCTTTGTGAAAGTGCGGACAGGCGGTCAGCGGTGTGTATACAAATACACGCAGCGACGCTTCGCCGCGTGTCATTTGAGGTGCTTGTCGGCAAATAAAATGCGTCGGCTGCCGTTCACTGGTAATATTTTACTCCTCTCTCCACATCAAGGCACAAAGCCTATGCACCGTGACTCTTAGTAGTGAGTGAAGAGAATTCTGGCTACACACAGGATGCCCGCCCTTGGCGACTGTCTGCGCACTTTTGCACTAAACCACATTTTTGCAGTGTTGTTTGTACGTATTTCCCTTGTGTTCCACCTACTACGCATTCCTGTTGCGAACTACTTACTAACATTTTGCTCATCAGAATACAAAAAAAAGACAAGGAAAGATCATAGAAAGCCCTCATATTGGTGCAATCAGTTCATTATCACTATATGCACCGAATACCCACGCACTCTTTTTTCTCATTTTGTTGACCATGAAGTGTGGGACAGCCGATAAGTCTGGCGAGGAAGCTTCGTTGCTTTCCAGGGCTTTGTGCTACATTGATGTTTACCACGTACATACATGTTCTTGGACTAGTAAAACTATCAAAACTCTGTAGAGTTCCACAGAAAGCTTTCTTCGAAGGATTACGTGTATAAGAGTAATACAACAAAGGTGTGTTTATTTCATGGGAAGAACATGCTTGTTTTTGTTTTTTCAAATAAAAAATGACTGCTGAATTTTGTCAGTCAATAATGATGCCACACAATCGCTCAAGACATTGTACAAAAAAAAAGACATTTTTCATGAAATTACACAACATTATTGTGAGGCATGCCATCTCAATTAATTTTGGATGCCTAAGTTCTTTAAAGCATTTTTAAATTTAAGAACACGGGTGGTTCAGCATAAAATTCTCCCCAAGTTAAAAAATGGCACACGGCAACTCTGTTTTAAGTAAAGTTTAAATGCCGAAGTGTCAGACTTTACTTGATATATTTATTATTATTATTATTATTATTATTATTTGAAAATACTGCCAATACCACATGCATCATAGCAGAAGGGCATATAGTGTACTTCAATACAAATTTGACAAATTGTGATACCTTGGCAACAATAATTAATTATAAAAAGGTGCAAAATTATTGTTAGCATGTGAATAGGGAAAAAAGTGCTTTCAATAAGTCACATGTCAATAAGAAGCAAAAAGAGGATAAAGTCGTACAGCATACATAAACATAACTAAAGCTCATGGCATAGTCAATAAGCTATATATATATATATATGTGACGCTACGATGAATGGGAGACGTGGCCTGGCTCATACGCCATGTTTATTCTATTCTGCACTTCATCCTCATCTACTTCTCCTAACCATCCCTGCCTTCTTACGTCACATATATATATATATATATATATATATATATATATATATATATATATAGATATATATATATATATATATATGTGTGTGTGTGTGTGGTGTGTGTGTGTGTGTGTGTGTGTGTATATATATATATATATATATATATAGATGCATAGTCAAGAGCTTCTTTTTTGTTCACAACAGAATCATTATAATGTTGCATTCACAACAAACTACTTCATAGTCCTCATGTTTGAGGCGATCCCAAATGCATTTTACGATGTGCTTGAAACAAATTGGCACCCACACTGAAATGATTCTGGTGAAATTCTGGGATTCTGGTATGACAACAATACACTACACTGGAAAGTTTCACTCGCTAATTTTATTACAGTGCATTACCAGCCGAGCAAGACCGAATGCTTTAATTCGTCTTTTCAGGCATACAAACAAGCAGTTAAGGTCACACTGACATATTTGAACAAACCACCTATTGAGAATGTGCATGACATGCTACTGTAACATGCAAACACGAAGTGACTATCAGATGATGCAGGGAGCAATGCATACTTCGCCCCTTCGTCAAGTTGCAACCCTGCAGCAACTTCGCTCGATCCCGTGGCCAATAGCGCATAAAACTCTGGTTTCCTCCATATATAAGCATGAACTGGATGGAGACCAGTAGGAACTGCACAGGCTTGCCACGGAAGCAGCAAAGCAGCTCCTAAAATGTGGGGGCACTGCAATCGCTTAACTGCTTGGTCAGGTGACATGCTGCTCATAGAGTTCCCCAACATACACTGGAGGGAACTCTGGCGCTAGCGTCTATGGGAGCTGCAACACACGGCGCTTCCACCGAGCATGGGAATGATGGGTAGTACACGTATTTTTCTAATCTTCGTACTTCTGGCCTGCTTCCGGCTCCAGCGTGTGTTCGCGTGGCTTGAAGTTGTTTCCTTACGAAACAAAAATCAGCAAATGTTCAGCGGTTGCGCTTCACCACCTTATTCTTTTAGACTTACCATTTCAAATCGGATCACGAATTTTAATAAGGTTTGTTCTTTCCTTCAAAACGAAACCAAAAACAGCAAAAAAACGAAGCCGCAAGTACGAAGACTAGGCAAATGTGTGTACTACCTATCATTCTCATGGTCAGTGAACGATCGCAGCGACAGAGTCCTCTCTAGTTAATTTTAGGAAACTCTATGGTGCTACCGTCTTCAAAAGACAGCATGGCCTACTTGGAGCACTCCATATCTCAAGCAACCTGGTTAGCGGATGCATATTCAGAGCTGCTACCACCACAGCATAGATGAACAGCTCGGAATGAACCAAGTCTGAATGGTGCTCTTTGCCACAGTAATGACTGCATTGCACGGGAGTTGCGATGTGATGAGTTTGTGCTCGCCTAACAAACTGACGACTCCTAATGCATGTACCCAAATTTACTAGTAAAGTTTTCGAATGCTTGCATCTGTGGTAGATAGATGAAGCGTTCTCTATACAAACATGCTCATAATCCAAATTGATAAAGAGTTCACCAGTTGTAGGCCCGTGTGCTCAGATTTGGGTGCATGTTAAAGAACCCCAGGTGGTCGAAATTTTCGGAGCCCTCCACTACGGCGTCTCTCATAATCATATGGTGGTTTTGGGACGTTAAACCCCACATATCAATCAAAGAGTTCACCAATACATGTTTGTCATTCATTAGTATGCTAGCTTTGAGCCCCAGAATGTAAAGGCATGTGCAGGGTTTCCCATCAAAGAAGGCAAAGGTTCATCGCAGTGTTCTACCAACTCCAACTGGGCGAATGCATGGGGACAGATTTTGCAACCCTTTTTCAGTGACCTGTGAACATTGGGGCAATGAAGAAGTAACGTTAATTATGCGCAGGCAAATGTGCCCTAAACCCAATGAGATGGTGTTAAAAAAGGGCTAAGTGGTTTTGTTCATGGGTGCGCATTAGTTCGCTCTACAAAATAATCAAGGCGATTTTTTTAATCTCCTCTTCGTACTTGAATGACATTGTTCCTCAATCATCGTTAGAGATATTCTCAATAATGGGAAAATCAACTCTGTTTGTTTCAGGCTTTTTTGTAATGAGTATTGGCTTATTAGCTTGGTAGCCTCTGGCAGCAATGCACTACACTGAAATTATGAGTATAACTTAACATTTTCTTTGACTATAGCGATATTCATAGCATAAAAAACTCCTTGACTTTGACTCGCTCAGGCTAGAATCCTTGAAGAACCCAGTGCCATTTTTTATGTTGTTACATTTATTCAAATCCTTATACTTGATGTGTTTGCAGATGCAAATATTGAAGCACATACAAGTTCGAGAACATTCCATGCCTGAAGGGTGAGAGTACTTGTGGAGATACTGCCTGAGATTATTTGCACAGGGGCCCATTCCTTCGGTGCAGTGACTCCACTGAATATTTAGGGTTGTTGCTGCTATATCAGTACATGCAATTTTGAAAGAACTGCAGCACCCTCTACTCATTTCAGAGTTACTACTAACCTCATCAGGCCAGACTTATTTGCACTGTGTAAGATTTACAACCTACAGTAAATAAAAACAAATGTACTCAAAGAATATCACATTTAGGATGCATGCCAGTACAAACAATATATTGCCAAAAAATATACTTTCATATTGAGATCAAACACACTTAGTGTCATCTTGCACTACAGTGCACTAGAATGGGGTGCCTTTGTTTTCCCAAATATGGTTCGAATCCTACTTTTGCATCATTTGTGCCCAAATTTCCCCGCATTATTCTTCCACATTAAGTGGTGCTGCTCCTCTCCCACCGTCTTTTCTAGTTGGCACAGAGGCAAAAACAGCAGCGCACACCTCTACAACAACACGGTTCTGCATAGGCAGTGTGTGTTCAAATTTGTTTGTTCAACTTGGAGTAAATCAAGCGACAAACGCAGGGTGAAATATGCACACCAGAAAAAGCGTGGTCCCTACAAAATGTGAACGAGACCACAGAAACAGAAGATTTTCATCGAACTGCTCAGAATAGTTCCTTAGTTTACGAACACTGAAACATAAACAAGAGTCGACTGTTGGGCGGGTTGGTGTTTTGACATAGAAACCATCATGAGGGCAGAACTGAACGCAACATACAGGAAGAAACAGACGAGGACAGGCGCAAACTACCAACTGATTTTATTAAAGAAAGCCCCTGTGCAGGGTGTTGATGTATAAAGGTGTGGATCTTGCTTGAATAAAGTCAGTTGGTAGTTTGCGCCTGTCCTCGTCTGTTTCTGCCTGTGTGTTTTGTGTCGTTGCGCCCTCACGATGGTTTATATGACTGAAACATAATTTATTAGACCGTGCGTGCAACTGATCACAGGCGTCTGAACACGTTTTCATCATCTAAGAGAGCTCTCACAAACACGGAAAAGCGACGCAGCGAAGCGAAATTGCGCGGAAGTGACTTCAATGCTCACACAGGCATTCGCTTATGCAGCGAATGTTCGTCTCTGCGTTGTTGAAGGCGTACAGTGCGCCTATCGAACGCTACGGCCGTTGCCTATGGCGTACAAATTATAATAACGCGGCTTCTGGGGTGATCAAACGAACTCCATTTCCGCACGAGTCAAACGACACCAGCATTCGCCGTGGTCCCATTCAGCCGCAGCTATCCACAAATGCGTCTCGGAATTTATTTCGCCCGCTCTCGGCGACACCTGGACAGCATCGCACCAACGCGTCGCACATACACACACAGTTAAAACTTGGGACGCCGTCGAGGCAGGGTGGAGGAAGAAAGGAGAGACCAGCTGACAGGTCGAGGTGGTACCCTCGGTCGACACCGCAGTGACATATATTTAGAGGCCGCGGGTAGCTCTCACTGCTGCTGTCGCTGGGACAAAACGCGTCGCACAATATCCGCATGCGACGCCGTGCAACGTGTTGACGTTTTCTGGCGCTCCCGATTGTTTCCGCAGCAGAGCACCTCGCATCTTTCCCAACCCCGATCCCCGATGCGAAAAAAAGCAAAGGACCCGTAGCTCGACAAATGATTCGAGAGGCGCATCACACACAGCAGCGGCCACTTCGAAACGCCGTCAACGTCGGAAAGAGTTGCAGCCGTCCTACATTGAAACAGCAGGCCACCAGTCTCACCTCAGCCGCGGACGCTGAGCGGTTCTTCTCGGCGACGTTGAGCAGCTTCCCGAAATTCATGGTGCGGACGATGGGCGAGATCTGAGGATACGTCGTCCGTCACTGCAGCGACGAAATGTGGCAAGCAATACAGCTTTTCACACACGCGCAATCACACGCAGTCGAAAATCACACACGCACTCTCGTAATGATAGTGGTTACAATAAGGACATCAGCCGCCGTGCTCGAGAGTGCAATTATTTGGATTCGGACTGAAGGCGGCGCTAAAAAGCAGTCAGTAATTTTTAATGCTATTAATGACGGTGGTGAACTAACGGTACAGAAGGTCATGCTAGAGATAACAAATAAATACAAATATATGAGCGTATAGATAAGCAATGGGATCGATTACCTAAGGGAACATGAAATATACGTAACGACTAAAGGTAACAGGAATGCAGCGGTGATGAAAAATAGGGCACTGTGGAGTTTCAGTAGGTATGATGTTGTGAGAGGTATTTGGAAAGGTGTCATGGTTCTTGGTCTGACTTTCGGAAATGTGGTATTGTGCATGAGATTAGGGAAGTGTTTCGGTTCACCCGGTGGCACGAACCTTTTGGCAGCGTCTTCTGCCCAGCGCGGCGCAGCAGCCATCCCCACACAAAAGTGGCTGCTGCACCGCACAGAAGTGACGTCACTTAAAAAAATTAGGCAGCGTTTTGTGCGCCGCGCGGCGCAGCAGCCATCCCCACACAAAACTGGCTGCTGCGCCGCACGGAAGTGACGTCATTAATAAAAAAATTAACGTAAAATTATTTAAATGTGAAAATAATTACTTAATAATGCAATAAACTTACAAAAATGTTATTAAACAAGTGTGTAACGTGTTTTTGTAGTGCATAATTTAATTATTACCGCATTGTATAAAAATATTTGTTTTGTATACTGTTTTTGTAATATTAGTATATACTGCTCAATTTAACAACCTAATAAATTATTTGTTGGTTTATAAGTATTATTAAAAGGAAAATAAGTTGATTGTTTGTTCTGTGCTCGAGGGTGCAGCGGGTTTGCCCCTGGTTTCGGTTTGGAGCGTATTTTGATGATAGTTATAGCGCGAGAACAAAACGACGACACAGAGACAAGAAGGACACGAAAGACACGAGCGCTAACTTCCAACTGAGTTTATTGCGCAGAGCACGAAAATATATAGAGGAGACAGTGACCATGGCACAAGAGCAGAACATGAGTAAGAAAACCAAAAACAAACAGCACAAATACAAAGGCACTGAAAAACAGCAAAGGAAAGCCTAGAAGAAACCGAACCAGAAAGGTAAAGCTACCTGCCCGCACCGAATCCTTCGAGGAACCTGCGTTCCTTCTCGGACTAAGCCACGGAGGGCTTGCTAATCCAAGGCACCTGTTCGCGTTACCTGCCCGCACCGAATCCTTCGAGGAACCGGCGCTCCTTCTCGGACAAGGCCACGGAGGGCTTGCTAACACAAGGCACCTGTTCGCGTGCCATCTGCGCAGCCTCGACAATGACCCGGGTGCTTACATCTCTGTGTTTGTACAACGTCGCTGTTTCCTCGAAGAGGGGAACACACTTGCACTCAGTGCAGTGCTGGGCAAGAAAACCATCTTTCCCGTTTTTAACATTGTTCGCGTGCTCTCTAAGCCGATCGTTCAGACACCTTCCGGTCGTTCCGACATAACAAGCACCGCATGAAAGGGGGGTCCTATAGACGACTTCCCGGGAACAGGCTGCATACCTGTTTCGATGTTGAACTCTGCAATCTGTTGATGATTTTGTTTTTAGGGGGTTGGTAGATTTGGTGAGGCTGATTAATTTGAACGGTGCTGAGAATTAATCAGCCTCACCAAATCTACCAACCCCCTGAAAACAAAATCATCAACAGATTGCAGAGTTCAACATCGAAACAGGTATGCAGCCTGTTCCCGGGAAGTCGTCTATAGGACCCCCCCTTTCATGCGGTGCTTGTTATGTCGGAACGACCGGAAGGTGTCTGAACGATCGGCTTAGAGAGCACGCGAACAATGTTAAAAACGGGAAAGATGGTTTTCTTGCCCAGCACTGCACTGAGTGCAGGTGTGTTCCCCTCTTCGAGGAAACAGCGACGTTGTACAAACACAGAGATGTAAGCACCCGGGTCATTGTCGAGGCTGCGCAGATGGCACGCGAACAGGTGCCTTGTGTTAGCAAGCCCTCCGTGGCCTTGTCCGAGAAGGAGCGCAGGTTCCTCGAAGGATTCGGTGCGGGCAGGTAACGCGAACAGGTGCCTTGGATTAGCAAGCCCTCCGTGGCTTAGTCCGAGAAGGAACGCAGGTTCCTCGAAGGATTCGGTGCGGGCAGGTAGCTTTACCTTTCTGGTTCGGTTTCTTCTAGGCTTTCCTTTGCTGTTTTTCAGTTCCTTTGTATTTGTGCTGTTTGTTTTTGGTTTTCTTACTCATGTTCTGCTCTTGTGCCATGGTCACTGTCTCCTCTATATATTTTCGTGCTCTGCGCAATAAACTCAGTTGGAAGTTAGCGCTCGTGTCTTTCGTGTCCTTCTTGTCTCTGTGTCGTCGTTTTGTTCTCGCGCTATAACTATCATCATGCCATACCAACTAGCCCAAGCTGCCACACGTATTTTGATCCTACGACTACCCTAATACAGTACATGTGTACAGTATTGTACACATACAGTACACATACGTACAGTATCGCACACAATATTGTACAGTACATGTGTACGTTCTACATCGCAATGTGCCATGTCAACAGCATTCGCCGAACACCGTGTGATAAATCTGCATCGCAACGTCAACAGAGTGTTTCTTTGATAGACCGAGAGGAAATCGGTGGTCTGGCGTCAAATTAATGTGCATCCTTGCCTGTCGACAGAGTGTTTCTTTTGTAGACAGAGAGAAAATCGGTGGTCTGGTGTCAAATTAATGGGCATCCTTGCCTTTCGTTCGCGAAATCTATGCGTCCAGTGACGCTGTTCTGGTACCACGTCTACTGCGGCGCGTTTTTCTGTCATCAGAGCCTCAATAAATAGCGTGAACAGCATTGCTTACCCAGTGGCGGAGGAAACGATGCAGTCAGTTGCATCGTTTTCGCTTACGGGCCTGGAGTTTTGTGTGTCCTTGTACGTCTCGGCAAGAAAGTGCATCGATTGTTGAACAAGCGTATAAATGTCCTATTCTGCGAGGATAATCAAACATTCGAAATCAAAGGAGGCGGCATTCAGGAAGATCAGTCCAATATGTGCTTAGGAGAAACTTGTTAACTTGTGTCGCAGACACTATATTATTGTTATTGATTTCAGCAGTGCTCTGAGGGACGAGGATCTTTCAGTGCGCTGCTAAAATCAAGAATGCGATCCAACTTGCGTATGCAATTTTCAGTTTTCATGCAGCACATTACTGATCGCCTTATATGAAAAAGTTAACAAAAAGTCATTTATGTACGTGCTATGCATGCCACGTTAAGCTTCTGTGCTAACTATACCCTTGCACTGGATATTAACATGTTTACATGCTTACACTCTGAGGAAGAGATGGTCCGCTTATTTCTTTTAAACAAATCTGGAATGTTGGCCATGTTGTCGCTTGTGCCTCTAGACCAGGTAGTCGTGTCTGGACCACCAAGCAAACCAGCTTGACCTCCCTCATGCCCAGGGTCACACATCTTAATTCATGCGGCTACGATGTGCTGCTGCACTTCCACTAAGTATGAGTTGAATATGTTCGCAAATAGACTGCCATATAAAGCACTTGCAGGTGCTCTTCGGTTTTCTTTTCTTTTTTAGCGTGTTATAGTGCAGCGATTGGTTCGCAGGTAGGACTTGCAAACCTTGTACAGCTATGGACCGGGCTGACTATTGTAGCTTCGTATGCATGTAGAAACCTTTTCCAAGTAAAAAGGTTATTATCATCAACATAAGAGAAAGGTATACAAGCTGTTTTCATCCAACCTTTCTTCACAAATGAGATAAAGATGACTAACCCATTACTACTTGAATTACTAGCCATACTGTACAGGTTGCCATCAATTTAATTAATGCAACACCCAACATTAAAACCACACTAATTCATTAATTTCACCTGTGACGACAATGTTAGTACAGTCAGCATTAGGCTGGCAATCCTGACACTGCACGAGAGCCTCTTTTAATGTTGCCTATAGCAGCTAGATTACAAAAGCACTACAATTTTGTCGAAAAACTCACATGATCTACGAAGTCTTCACGTCTCGCTATTGAGGTGACGAGGGCATGGTCGGAAGTGCTGCGATCATATGTCTGACTAAGGAGCTGAAGTGCTTGCTTCATGTGTGATGCCTGTATTGCGTTGATTTGCTTGCATCGGATCCATGCATTCATTGGGCACGATGACCTAAACTGATACGACACATGCATTTTAATCTCTCATAACATAGACAGATTAAGAGATGCCCTTCTTGGCTACTTAGTTCATAACTGAAGCTCAACAGTGGCAGGACAAAAACATGTGGGTCTAAAGGACCGGGCAAAATCCTCCTGACCTATATGATGGTCTACTGACAAATTTTGTCGCCTCCTCACCTACGCCAAATTTAGTGTTAGTTATAAACGTTCGGCGATTTTAAACTTCCAGGCTTCAGTTTTGTCACTTTATCTATCTCGGCTAGTGATAAGGTAGCCCATGCCTTACTATAAAAGCTTGTTAAGACTTTCGCCTAACTCAGTTTATCACGAAGCCTATACAATATGTAGGTTCTGATTTTGATGAGATAAACCTTGAAACTTCTTTTTCTGAGAGCCTTTTAGCTCTATGTTCTCCCCATTTTTTTGAACAAAATTAGACGCCACTCAAAACTACCCAAACTCATGATATGACACATACCTGTTACAAAAGTACGGTGTAGTAAATGTGCATTTTTGCCTCAAAGAGCCAATAAAAAGAAGAAACAAAAATGTCTGTGTAGGTCTACACTGTACCCTATTAATCCTTGGGAATTCAACAGCAAGTGATATGGATTACAGAAAAATGCTCAAAGCCTCAAGCCGTCAGTTGAGGTGCTGTGCACTATCATCATCAGCCTGACTACGTCCACTGCAGGACAAAGGCCTCTCCCATGTTCCGCCAGTTAACTCGATCCTGTGCTTGCTGCTGCCACTCTACACCCACAAACTTCTTGATCTCATCTGCCCACCTAACCTTCTGTCTCCCCCTAACTCTCATGCCTTC